CCGCTCAGCTTGGGGTCATCAGCAAACTGGCTGAGGGAGCACTGCATCTCCTCATCCAGGTCATCAATAAAGATGTTAAACAGGACAGACCCCAAAACCCATCCCTGGGGAACACCACTGGTGACCGGCCGCCACCTGGACTTCACTCCATTCACCACGACTCCCTGGGCTCGATCTGTCACCAAGAGGTCAAGGAAGGCTCACGTTTGTCTCTCGCAACGCTCTCTTGCCTTTCCAGGCACCTGGACCCAGCACAGGCTGTCTGCACGCACAACCAGCCTGCACGGCATCAAGGGAAACCCCAGACTGCAAAAACTTCCTGCCCGGGGCTTTCTTCCTCTACCTCCAGTTCTGCACCGAAGCAGGATTTAGAATCTCACCGGTGAAATTTTAAGGTCTCTCCCCATTCAGTCAAAAAAACTTGATTTTATCTGGAAGAGAAGAAACCTCCTCTCCCTTCCCAAAGCCCCCAGCCTGCGGCTCCCTGGAGTGGTAGCAAGCATTTTGTCTTTCCTTTCTAAAATGTAAATGACCTTCATCATCCTCACCTTGATCTTGAAGGCCCTCTTAAAGCCACTGGCAAAGAAGCCTCCAAAGGGCCCGATGAGGGAGGCGAAGGTCGACAGCGCGATGCTGTGGATTTGGAAGGGGTACATCCGGACCGTCTTCTGCAGAAAGGAAAACAGGGCAGAGAAGGATTTTTAACGAGACCAGCACTGTCCACCGTTCGTCCCTCTTTCTGTGCTCTCCAGGCTTTTACCAGTTGGTTTTCAAGTGGTTTCACGTCCCACCAGACTCGGGACAGTTTGAGTCTCCAACCAACATGGAGCTAAATTCCCCTTTTATGGCTGTACCGTCATCCCTTGACTTGTTCCTTTGAAGACCATAAAAGCAGAGCCCTGGTCTCTTTTCTCGGTGTTCCCCATAAATAAGCTCCAATAAAGAGAGGGAGTCCTACCCAGCCCACCACGGACTGCAGCACCGCGGGGATGTTGTACTCCTGCAGCTGGAACAGCTCGGACGGCTCGCAGTCTACGGTGAAGCTGTTGGTGTCGTTGTTGAACTCCACCGGACACGTGAAGCACCGGTACCCGGACATCACGTAGGAGAGCTTTGGGGAGAGAGGAAAAAAAGAGATGCAGCGAGAGAAAGCAGGATGAATATTTTCCTGAGCAATGCCGCAGAGCTGGTGTCGAGGGAAAAGGCCACTCAAGGAGACCCGGCGAGGAGGGAGCCGCGCTCCCAGGTTCATTAAGAAGATTACTCCGCTGAGAAGCACTAATTGGCTGAAGGCAGAGTAACGTTTTCATTGAGAGCATCTGTTCAGCCAGCACGATGGGAGCCCTGCACGACCAAGCTGAGCCAGGCTGCACCTCTCGGCTGGGTGGAGACTACCAGACACAGAGACCATCGTAAAACCAGAGGAGAATATTCCAAGAGTGAATTCTCCACGCCGCCCTCGAAACGATGATGCACAACATCACTCCAACAGCAGCAGGCAGAAAGCGTCAAGGATAATGCAATGAGCATGTCAAAGGGCCTGACAGGGACAAAAAACTTCCCCCAGTGCTCTGCTCCCTCTGCATCCAGCACAAAACACGGCCGCGGAGCAGTTCAAATCCCGGTCAGTAAGGAAAATGTGACAGCTCTGCAAAAGTTGGGAGAGCTCACAGCTTGTCTGCATTTTGGAGACAAAACCCTGTCACCCTGCAAAGGGAAAAGGCCGGTAAAAGAATGGAATACGCACCGTGATTGCTACTTACCAGCAGTCCAAACAAAACGGTGGCAAAAAATCCTCCGATAAAACCCTCCCAGGTCTTCTTTGGGGAGAGCTGCCAGAGAAAGGGAGAGATTGAGAATTACCAACTGCACGTCTCCGCATACCTCCGCAGCCCTTCTCCGCTTGCGAGTCGCTGACGCCAACACAAGTTTGTGCCAACAACCAACAAATGAGGGTTTGGTCAGAACCTGACGCCAACGTCTCAGTCTGGAATGGTTCACAGCCGCGGAGGCTGGGACGCACACTGAGATTAACTTGCTTCAGACCCATGAAAAGCCATAAAACTGGAGATGAGGGAACACAGGACTAAGACCCAAAGAAGCAAAATGCGTGTTTGGTCCATCGAAGCGTTACCCACCTTGATGAGCGGGGTGCGGCCGAAGAAGAACCCAAACATGTACGCCATGATGTCGTTGCAGATCACGCAGGAAATGGGGACGATGAACCTGGATGGGAGAAGGGTCAAACCGTTGGGAAGTGCCAAGATCAGGCAATTCCAAGACTGAACAGAACGAGCAGTTGCTTCGTAAGGTGCTTTGCGGTGCCCTCACATTGACGTCTCCCCCTCAACGCAACCCAAGGAGCAACCACCTGAACCTCCTCGAGAAATCTGGGGGATTACTCTGGACTAAGAAGAAGGTTGTGCACCCAGAAGAGCCTGGTTTAAGCCCATTTTCTTTTGCCAGACATGATGTGCCCCCAAAAAGGCTGTGGGCAGGAGGAACACGCAACCTCAGAGCTGCCAAAATGAGTTCCCGGCGCTGCTGGTTTTGGGAAGACCAACCACCAAAGGGGCTTCCCCTCTGCAGAGCAGCTGGAGCAAGGTGGCAGGTGACTTCCTTCCTTTCACGGTGCTGCTTTTAACGTGACCCTGACGGCATTGCCCCAACCCAAGTGCCCAGCAGCACCTTCCCATCCATTTGCTCCATGTGGGTATAAAGAAAAAGCATCTACACGTGCCTGCCGCTGCCAGAAAGGTCCCTGCAGCCCTCAGCAACTTTCAGATTATGCTCTACAACAACTCTTCAGTTGCACAAAGCAAGTCCTAAGTCACTAAGGTATCACAGAATCCCAGGAGGGTTTGGGTGGGAAGGGACCCTAAAGCCCATCCAGTCCCACCCCCTGCCATGGGCAGGGACCCCTCCCACCAGCCCAGGTTGCCCAAAGCCTCATCCAGCCTGGCCTTGAACCCCTCCAGGGATGGGGCAAAAATGGGAAAAATCTTCCTCCTAATATCCAGTCTAAATCTACCCTCTTTCAGCTCAAAATCTTTTGCTTTTCTACTCCAAACAGGTTGGTCCCCCACAGGAAGCAGACTCTCCTTGGCCATTTGTTTGGTTTTTTTTTTAAATAACAGTTTTAACTCAGAACACGGTCATCCGTTTCAAGCTGCAGAAATCAAAGCAGCTCAGAACACAGGGCAACTCACCAGATCATTCCTTCAAACAGGTTGTGAATGATGAGGTGCGACTGGGTAACAACGATGAGCAACGTCACGTGGGTCCATCCAAACTGGAAGAGAAGAGAGCATGCCACTGGAGACCCTGCCCATGCCCAGCACCGCCAGAAACCAGCCACCTCTTGGACAGAACAATTCATGCACGTGAGCATTTCTAGCATGCTCCTTCACCGTGACAACCACCACGAGTCACGAAGAGCAGGCAACAGCCACCTGGAGTAATTTAGGGGCACGTTCTTCAGCTCAAGCCCAGAGGGGACCTTCATGGGGAAGACTTCTACTGGACCAAATGCTCTTTTGCCCACCCCATCCTATCCATCTCCTTTTTGGAAAGCAAAACTCGCTGTGTCCATGGTCAAACACGAGCAACGTCCTACTGACGTTTGGGAAAAGAGGGACATGGCCAATTAACCCTGGTGGCCATCGACCCTCCACGCATCCTCTCAGCTTGCAGAAAGTTTCTTAATATCCTCCAGCAGTGCCAAGAGAGGAGAATAACTGTTTGCAGGGAAATTCGGTCATAGCCACCTTCCTAAAAATACAGTCTGCTCACAGGAAATTTTCTTCCAGGTGGCGTGACAATGCGCAACCGCCTCAGAAGCATCTACTGACACGTATTCCCCCACACAACATTTCTGAGCAGCCTACACCATTCATTCTGCTGCCTCCAACGCGGGGCAGCCGTGCCCGACGTTTAACCTTACCATGTAGAACTGGAGGCGATAGTGTTTCTTCACCAGGCTCAAGACAAACATGCAGAAACCTGGTGAGGAACAGAAGGAAAGTCAACGGTGGGAATATATCTTCAACAGTCAGAAATAATTTTTTTTTCCATGATGTTGCGCAGCTCCTTAGGTTCTTTATTCTAGTCAAATAGAAATGTGGAGCGGGAAAACACCACAGTTTGGAAGTCACAAAATATCGTTGCCTACAAGTAGCGCTTGGACAGATGAACGGCTCCTCCGGAGCCTGGTGTAAGAGACCGGCCAGCGCTACTCTGAGCACGCGGCCAAGTTCCAGCGTCACTGAGGAGCTGGGATAACTTGCTGCCTTGGACACTATACTCAGGACAAGAGTAGTTCAGAGAGATTCCTTCCCTCCAGCCCAGCCAAAGATGAACGGACAGAAAACGTGGTCTCTACCTGTTAAGTACAGGGCGAAAGAAATGAAGCGGTGATATTTGCTGAGAATTCGCAGGGGCTCCTCTCTCTGAACCAGGGTGAAGAAATAATCCGTCGCGGTCTCACCATAGAAAAAATAGTTGACGCAGAGCAGGAAATACCTGTGAAGGGGGCGGATGCTCGTTAGCAGGAACCCTAAAAGGTTTCTGGAGAAACACAGACAGGGGCTGATCCCTACGCTGCAAACACGCTATCTTCAAGTGAGAGGCAGAACTTTATTTCCCCCAGCTGAGAAATGTCACCATCACTTAAACCAGCGGCTGCAGGACTCAGCTCTGCTCTGGGATGGATCCCACCACCCGGGGTGGTTTTGACCTTCTGATGCACCAGGACTTTCTGCCTTTAGGTGGCAGTCCTCACCTGGCCTCTGCCAGCTTGGGCACCCTCCCAGCTCACGCTCTGTGCTTCCTGAAAGCCCTGCTCCTGCCCTCTCCCCAGATTTTCCATCTCACGCCCAACTCCAAACCCCATCCCACCCATGTCTGTCCCTACGTCGTGACGCCTGTCGGTGCTGTCTTGATGCAAATCTCTGCGTTTTGTTAATAACAGGACAAGGTTTAGCAATACGGACTTTTTCAAGGTATTTGGGGTTTGCTTTTCCTTTACAAGAGCTGCTAACACATGACACCGGTCAACCCACCACAATCCCGGGCTCTCTGGCTTGGAGGCAGCCAGAGGACCCCTTGGTGGCTGTCTGCGGTGAGATGGAGGGAGGATGGAGGGGAGAACAGAGGAGAGGATGGAGGGGAGGATGGAGGGGAGGTCGGAGCGGGGGACGGAGGAGAGGACAGAGGAGAGGATGGAGGGGAGGATGGAGAGGAGGACAGAGGGGAGGATGGAGGGGAGGATGGAGGGGAGGACAGAGGGGAGGATGGAGGGGAGAATGGAGGGGAGGACAGAGGGGAGGATGGAGGGGAGGATGGAGGGGAGGACAGAGGATCCCCCAGGGAGGGGAGCAGCCCCCCTACTGACCAGCTGAGCGTCCTGAACCAGGGCAGGTCATACGAGTGGTACACATTATAGCCAATGGTGATAATCTCATGGAAGCATTTGATCTGGACACACATCACCTGCACAAAGAGACAGCCAGAAGCTGTAATACATGTTGGCTAAACAGCTCTTTCCCCAAGGAGATAAAAGACATGCATGTACAGAGCTAAGGACACTTGAGCAGTCACCATCAGTCTGGCAGGAGTCTCCTAACCCAACGTGGGACCTCACCAGGTTGTTCTTCTCTCCCCTTTCCTCTGCAGGAACCCCTCGTATTAGTTTCAATCGCAGCCAAATGCTGACCGTGAAGGCAGGCAGTCACAGATTCCTTCCAGATTTCCTCCATGGACGCAGCAAGCTGAATTAGGACCTCCAAAATATGAGGCTCTGAGCTTCCCACCCCAGCAGTGGTCCCAGCAACCTTCCCCCTGCTGCTGCTGCGAACGTCAGGGCATCTCTCCGGAGCACTTACTATCGTCATTAAGACCAGGGGTCCCAAGTAGATGATGATGAAGAAGAAGGTGATCATCGCCAGCGTGAGGATGCCTCTCACCCACCAATTCTTCCATCTGGGCCATAGAGAAAGGCAAGACGTTAGAGAAAGTCAAAACAAAGCAAGGAAGCAGGACAGCACTTCTGCTCTCTGCACACCACAGGAAGGAAACTCAGCCCCGGGAACTCCCAAGTTTCCTTTCCGTGCTGCAGAGAGACCTCGATCTGCTGCTCAACGCCTGGCTGGGCTGCAGGGCTCCAGCTCAGTCCTCCCTGCTGTGAACCTCACTAAACACACAAAGCATCAGCCAGAGCACCTCCAAGGATGCTGAAAAGGGACAGGAGAGCATCTGTTCCTCTTCTGCTCCAGGTTTCCCACCCCTGGGACAAGCTGCATGGTACGTTCAAATAAAACGGGGACCATTCCCCCCCTCTACACTCCTCTTCACAAGGAGACACGGGCCCTGGCGTGTTGTACCCCCGCTGCTCTCCAACAGACCCCGAGCCTCTCCATCCCCAGCACATCCAGGAGACGCCATCTCTGTGATAGGAACGAGATGCTTTTCCCCCAAAACCAGTCTGTAGAGAACATTCCCCGTTTGTTCCTATAGCTGGTGTTATCAGCGTGCTTTTCTCACGCATCCCTGCAGAAGTAGGTCACACCACCGGTTATAAACCGCAGCGGTTGAAGCCTTTTTGCTGAGAGCACCGGCAAAGCCAAACCCAACCGCCTTCTGCCCCACCCCGGCCAAGACGGAGCCGGCAGCGAGGCTGCGCCCTGCTCTCCCAGCCACCATCGCCTCCAGCAGCCTCAGGGGCACCTTCCTGCCCGCAGGGCGGGGAGGGAGAGCGCAGCGCTGCCGAGAGCTGCTCATCCAGCTTCCAGCAGCCTGCACCGCGCTGCTGGGGCTGGGAAAGCCGTGGCGAAGACGCAGGGACCTGGCAGCAGAGGGGGACGATGCTCGGTGGGTGCTACCTCGAGGACAGGTTGGAGAGAGCTCTGTTCAGGACCTCCGGAGTGTCATCCGACGTTGGCACCTGGGGGGTTCCTCCGAATTCCGATTTGCTTTCGCTGTCTGATGCTGTCTCTCCATCCAGCTTGTTCTCGGATTCTGACTCCTGCGGGTTAAAAGAGAGACAAAAAGCTTTAACAGACAGAAAGAAACTCAGCCCAGCCCACTGGATGCAACACCCACCACCGCTCTGCTGCTGCCCAAATAAAAAAAGGAGGAAAAAAAATATCCTGGGTATGACACGGGGTTATACCCATGAGAAACAACGTCAAGTGTTTTAGGTGACACACGGGATGGGTTTCACCCTCCATCAGCCTCGGCAACAGCTCCAGAACAGGTTCTGTCCCCTGGGAGCAGAAGGACACAGAGGGACGCAGCCTCATTAGCAGGAATTTTTACAAGGTCTCCCGATGCCCAGGCAGATCTCCAAGTATGCGACGCTGCCCGAATGACACAGCATGGCCTCCAAGCAGACAGGCTCAAGGCTTCCAGGCAGACTTCTCAAATACTAAAAACACCCCCGAGCCCATCCTCAGACAGCTGGAGAGGAAGAGCACGGCTTATCGCCCCGGCCCAACCTTCCTCCCAGGGCACAGAAGAAACCTGATGTGCTGGAAAGAATGACCCGTGGTTTCCCCGGGCTTGTGCCGCTCCAGCACTGAGCTCAAAGTCCTGTGTTCCCGGGGTAAATAAATACCGGCAAGGAGGCAGGGGTACTGACAGCTCTGCCAGCGGTGGAAAAAGGATTAAAAATGATCTCCTGGCTCCCAGGCACTCCCGTGCCCCCTCCCCAGCAGCAGTTTTTCCTCCTGAATAGAGGATGAATCCGAATTTCCCCATTTTGCTCCTCGATTCAGCAGCAGGGTTTCATCCTGCTCCTCGGTCCTGGAAGCAAGGCAGGAAAACGCGGCTCCACGGGGAGCACCGGAGCAGCAGGCAGAGCCACGGACCATGGGCTGTTCTCAAACTCCCGGCAAAGAGAGCGCGTCTGCAGGAAAAGCCAGGAGAGAGCCAAACGGACAAACCTGGGGGCTCTGCAAAGCCACTCCATCCCTGCGGGCTCCCAGGCTCGGAGAGGGGGGACGCCCCCAAAACAAGCATCCCCTGGTTGGTATCACCCAACGGAGGGGTTTGGGAGTTGGCCGGAACAGTGAGACTTGAGCAGCTCCCTTACTGAAGGCAGGAGAAGATGATTACTCCCCGAGCGGTGATGTATCGATGGCTGCAGGCCAGGTTCTTACAACAAAGGACATCACCCCGGTCACATCCTGCGTTGCCTCTCCCTCGCCTCGCTCCGCGCTCGCTGCCTTCCATTCCCACCCACCGGGAAGGAAGAGGAAAGCAAATCTGAGCCCTTCTGCCAGCGTCCCGGGGGTTTGCAGAGCTGGCGAGGAAATGCAACTTGGTTTTTGGGTTTTTTTATTTTCAGCTGGTTTTTAACTGACCTGTAAAATCCACTTGTCCCTTGGACTTCAGAGAGACTCAGTGCCACTTAGCTGGGAACACAGAAAAGATCAAACCCATAAGGCAGGAGGCGCAGAGACTGGAAATGATCAAATTCCCTGAAAACCGTGGGTTTGGCATCCCGTAGCAGAGCACAGGGCAGGGCGCTGCTCTGAGCAGATTCTGGGCAATCGGTGCCCAGCCTACATCTCCCATTGCAATGTTTCTCCAAGAAAAGGATTCTCTGCAGAATTCCCTTGGGAGCAATCTAATAACAGAGAAAAGCCTCAGCTCCAGCCTGACCAAACCCAGTTTCTCCTGGTCTGCAAGTTTAGGAAACGGGGGTTTTGCTTCTCTTGTTGCACATTTCGAAAAAAGAAAAATTAACGTGAGTGATTCAAGTGCAATGGGCAAAGACATGTTTGGGTATTTTGGGCAACCACCAGCATCCGTACGGGCTAAACCCCAATCCTCCAGCAGCTTTCTAACGCAGCCCAAGCGTCCATCGTCCCACGCACATCCCAGGCTCGCCAGCCACGTGCTCGGAGGAGGACGCAGCTCCACACCAGCATCCCTGCAATTTATCCCCCAAAGCGCTCAGAGTGCAAGGCTGAGCGCAGATTATTCCCTGCCTGGAGAGGACGAGAAGTGTCACAAAGTGC